TTTTCCCCTCCTTGATGATAAAAAAGTCTGATTGCAAAAATAGTTCAAAGACTAAGGCTCGGGGAAAATTTTCGTATGTAGCATGGGGTTACGCTGAAATTTAATTATTAGCTGAACAAGAGCAGAAGAGCTTTTCTGATGATTTCGGGTAACTTAGGCAGCCATGAGGTTAGCTTCGGAGGTAAAAAAAACCATCGAATATCCTAAGCTGTCTTGCTTGTCTTCAGAAAATTTGCATAAATAAAGTTTTAATGATTCAGAAAGTAAACAATATTAATTTTTGTTTATTTACCTTCACTCGTTGTGGTTGGGCTCGGTGCGATCGTTGTTGTTGTAGCAGAATCTGAAGTTAAAGTATAGTGATCAACGTCAGGAAGGCTATGAAGTTAAAAATATCGAAATTGCGGACACGGCAGAAGCATATAATAAGTTAAAAGGCATATTGTAGTCGCCACTGTGTAAAGAGTTGAATTTAATAGATGTTTCGGCTGAACTAATAGGGAAAATAAAATAAGGTAATTAGGATAAATAACAGCGCGTCAATGCACCTTGTGATGGATTCGAATTTTCACTCAGCTTGGCACAGCACCACACAAATTACACGACTTTGATACTTGTCTCTTTTCTCTTTTGTTAGGTTTTTTACGAAAATTTAGCATTTGTTTAAGTTAATGGAAGTGCAGGCGTATTTGAGATTATTCTACTAATACTAATAAAAAATTTTTCCCCTCCTTGATGATAACAAAGTCTGATTGCAAAAATAGTTCATAGACAAAGGCTCGGGGAAAAATTTTCGTATGTAGCATGGGGTTACGCTGAAATTTAATTATTAGCTGAACAAGAGCAGAAGAGCTTTTCTGATGATTTCGGGTAACTTAGGCAGCCATGAGGTTAGCTTCGGAGGTAAAAAAAACCATCAAATATCCTGAACTATCTTGCTTGCCTTCAAAAAATTTGCATAAATAAAGTTTTAATGATTCAGGAATTAAACAATATTAACTTTTGTCTATTCAGCACGGAGAAATGTCAGTGGAATATTTAGTTTCCATTTCTTTTTTGTAATCATGCTTACATTAACCATAGTTAGCAGAAACGTGCAGAGTTGTTGTAAAACTCTTCTAAAAAAACAAAAAAATGTTTGGTTCATGAAAATCTTCTTTCGCAACCACTAGTGGGTCATTGAAAATTCTCGGAGAGGGGTCTTTATGACCAGAGGTTTTGAAGAAAAGTGTGGAGCAAAACTGGAATTTTTAGAAGGGTACTCAAAGAAATAAAGCCTCCATCCCTCCGTGAAATAAGTATGAATACTTTTTGTAACAACACAATATTAGACAAAAACGTTACTAACTATTTCTTAATTGTTACATTAACTGCTATTCTAATATATATGAAGAATACATGTGAAGAAAATCACTGTGCCATGCAAAAAAAAAAACGAATAACTGTGACATTCACGTCAATCAACAGGGTGGCTTGTATTTAACAGCTGTCCACTTTCAACTTCTCACAAATGTGAATGAAGAAGTGGAAAGTCTTGGAAAATCTACTAAATTTATGATCTTTTTGAGACAGAGAAACATTCTGTCAATAACAATGATGAACAGGACCACAGAAACAAGATTTTAAAAAGTCAAATTCATGAGTGATCCTCTCAGTAAGTAAGTTCTTATTCACTGTCGTTGTTTGTGTTGGATCAAGAGGGACTGGGAATGGGTCACCTTGTATCGTCATTATCAATTGAGGATGAATTTGCATTGTAATTATTGGCCTTCCCACTTGTGACAGGTGCAACTTCATAACAAATACACTTCTGCTAACGCTTTTGCATTTGTTTGCTGGTTTTGCTGCTCCAGTTGAAAGGAAGCATTGATCTCTACTGTAGTGCGTTTGACTGTGGATTTATCGAAATCTTTTTGTTATAGTTGTTCCTTTTGTTACAAACAAGATTTATGTCTACGTGGACGTTTGAAATATCAAGACAACGGAAATTATTTTAAGGCTTTTGATTTTGTTCGCTTGATAACATTTGCTGCTAAATAGGTCTGGGTTTATTTGATTCTAAATAATGACGTTTTTTGAAAAAAGGCGTATCCTTTTGACTGGCTATTATTTTTTAACCTTGAGGGGAAATAAAGATTCAAAAACAATACCTATCAAAGAAGGGCCTTCCATTTCCTTTTCCTATTTTTTATTTGGGTTTTGGTTACTGTTGCGTTTGCTGAGTGAAAGTATTCTTTTCTCTCTCATTTGACTGTAAAATCAGGAAACAGAGACCTTCAACGTCTTTCCTAAGACTTAGGGGATTAATAATCTTCGTAAGGTTTGGCGGTTCAGCTAATGTACACGCGTTTTTCTGAGGCTTTGACAGCGATGACCTTTAAAGTTGGATAACGTGACCTAGAATGATTTAATTCATCGAACCGGCCGGCTAGAATACATTTCATACGCAATGATCTTCAACATTCCGCTCTTTGTCCTCAATTTTTTGTGATCATATTCTCCATTTAAAAAGAAAGCGAAATTGTGTTAGGATAACAGTTAAGTGAGTAGGCGGGATGTTACTCAGAGGGCGATATTGGACACACGCCGGCGAAGTTATTGATGCATATCGGTCAATGATCGATTCTCGAATGATTATTAAAAATAAATCCTGAATATCCTTTTTCGCTAATCACTGCTCTATATTTCTGAAACGGCCTCTTTTTTAATGAAATACCTATTTGATAACCAACAAGTGCATCGAAAATGGTCACGATTTTAAGTATTTTGTTTCCTTGGTTACCTTGAAATAAACACCTATTCTGTCATCGTTGTTAGGGAAAAATTGCCTATAATTCAGCAAGGAAAAACCAGCGGGAAATTTCTTTCCTGCGTGAGCAAGAAAAACTACTTGGTTATGTTTTTGTCAACTCAGAATATTCAATATAAATATGCTCAGAAAATATCTGCATTACGTAATTTTGGAAAAAAAGAGAGCGGGTATCCGTGTTTCCAATCTTCTTTGTTTGCAGAAACACCGGCTTTTCTGAGACATGTATTTGTATAGTCAGTCTACAGTCTTACTCTGGTCAAAATTATAAATTCACTAGCGATGCAGTAACGATCATATGAAAGCAAGCTTTTTTAAATGCGGTTTAAAGCGAGTTATCCGCGCTTAAAATTTGGGAAATCTGTAGAGGGTTAGTTTTAGGTAACTTGCAACGAACGATGCGATCAACGTTAACCTGGAGTATTATTAAAAGACCTGGAAGTATCATGACCATCATTACTAACAAAGCTGTGGAGAACTTGCAAACTTTTCATAGAACAGCACAATGGCTTCTGAATGCAAATCAAGTCCTCTGTACAAGTAACTTCAAAGATATACCAAGTTATAAGTGCAAGTAAGTTACAAGTAGTTGTGGGCTCGAAGTCTCTCCACAACTTAAAGGAAAGGATAAGGAACATCTTAAAGATGTGCCTTGAAGATACGTTCTACGTATACCACCCATTATATCGTTTTTTTCTATGGGCGACGAATTTAAGGTTAAAATCACTATTGTGAACAAATGATAAAAAAAAGTGAACTCTTACCTCGACAAAATAGACAGCCCTGAAAGATCATTACGGTCAATATGAATGCGACCTTCGCCATCGTTTAGTGTAACGTTATCAGCGGGGACGTCTTTTGCAACAACTTTTAACCAGTTATACTCGGAATGTTACTAAAGAGAAGAAGGCACCAGATAAACAAAAGTAATTCCGGTGAATATGGTGAAAATTATGGAAAAAATTCCCGCGATCTTTATACAGGTAGATTGGGTGCTTCACTCACGCACGTTGGAATAAAAAGTGAAGGGCAAAGGTGATTCACTTGCTTCTTTGATTTTTTCGAGCACGTCACAATTACCATAGCAATGTCAACAAACACCAGCTGCTCATTATCCTCATTATTTCCTTTTTTATCACTTGGCCATGTTTTGGTATAAGAAAATAAAGTAGATGAAAACATTATCTAAAATTATTGTCCTTCACAATCACCGTTCTTGCACTATGTTTTCGTCTGCGGTTGTGGAGAAACAACAAATTGATTTTTCGGGTCAACACACCTCATCGAATACCTCATGGATCAAGTCAAAAGCAGAATTTTATTTAATTTGTCGATCACACGCTATTTTTCCCTTCGAGAAAGTATGAATACATTAATAACATCACAACTCGTATTTGTAGGAATAAGCACAGTTAAATTGAAATTGTTTTGAGGATCCTTTCCCTTCGAGAGGCGAATGTCATTACCTTCGCCTATTATGCAGAAAACATTGTCTTTAAAATGATCGGCAAATATTAAAGGATTTGAAAGGGATGTTGTGTTTTCGAACCAAGCTGGTATATTTATGGCCACTGGGCAAAACATAGTCCAGAATTTTAAGCAGCCGTGATGGCCTCAAGCCTAGAAGTTTGAAACTGTTGTTACCGGTATGTTCCAATTGAGCAGTTTTACGAGACGTATTTTCACTCAGTTATTCCAATTTTGCAAGACTCCGTTTATATGTCCGGCCGAATCTTCTAGTCTGTCAATTATTCAGAAAGATGTCTAACTGGAAAGACTGACTATTAATAGAGCTAAATTACAGCTTATTTTTCGCTTCTCTTTCGAATCTTTTCATTCATCTTTGATTGGTTATTTAGTATCAACATTGGTTGTGATGCCTCAGGCTGGGTCGATTAGGCAAAGCCAGATACAATATTAATGCATATCAAATCTGATGGCCAAAGTTTCATTACTTCGCCGAGTAAATGGAAAAAAGCTATGTAAATTTTATTTTTTAAAAAAGACAGACTGGCCAACATCGTGACAGTTCTGCTAAGAATCAACTAAGTGCAACATCTTTGTAATTATGTGCGTAAATTACCTCTTTGTAATTACGTGCGTAAAAAAATAAACGCACTCGATTGTTTTTAGTTCGGCTGAACTCACGCAATAAAAACTCACGGAAACTTGTATTATCTATCAATTCTAAATCAATCAACGCACAGTTTAAACCTTATTTTAAACAAGAGATAGAAGTTTACAGAAAAAAGTTCTTGTTATTTAACTGCTGTTTACTGGCACCCTGCTATTTCTTATTGACGAAGTTGATGGATCATGCCACGAGTTCAAATCCGCGCGAGGGGTTCATCAATGTAATGTTTATTATTCGCTGTAAAGCCCCTTTTAATCTTTGTACAATTAACTGTGCAATAAAATCTTAAAGTCCAAGAGAACGCTAACGTCACACTTGAGTCTCGTTTATGGGCAGTCTCTTTTTTTAATTAGCCATGGACCAGTGGCCTGAAACTGTAAGTCGTTTATCTCCGAAAGCCTAGTCATAAAATCGCTCCAAGATTCCCGTGATCATAATTGTTTCTTGTAATTTCTGTTATGCTGACAAAATTGTACTCAGCCTTATCATATTGTGTCGGCCAAGAGACACGAAATAGTTGACTTCAATGCAGAGTATTTTCCTGTTACGTAGAACAGAAAAGCTGACCTTGCCGGGCAGTTGTGCTCTAAATCACGTGCACGATAGGATGTGTTTGGATATGACGCCGAAAAAGAAAACGCTAAAACAAACTGTTTGCAATTTATCAATAACTGTATGTATTCAGTGAATGCTACTACGATGCATATATAGCAGATATATTCAATTCGATTATAAAAGAAAAGAATCAAAAGCTTACGCAACATAAAATAAGGCTGTGATAAATATTCATTCGAACTCGATTTTACATATACAGCTTAACGAAAAACGTAAAGCCTTAGGAACTCAAGGAAGTGCAAAGAGTTTTCTTTGTTCAGTTGCAGCGTGATATCATGATGAAACCCACGAGTAACACTGTGTTTGTGTGGGAGATGGGGGTCAAGAACTAACTCCTTTACGGTCGATTTGTTTTGTCATTGATGCAATCACTGAGTAGGCGTTAGAGACTCTTTACGGCCACGAAATACATTTTACTTACAATCAATTCACCCTCATTTTCACAAACTGATTGAGCCAAGTTGCATTTATCTAAAAAAAGTTAATGTTTTCCGAAAACCAGTCCCACACAATTTACATCAGTGAAAATAAGTGTTAAGAGGAAATTTCACTTCACTGACTTTGACAAGGTTAAAATGCAAATCAACCGGCACTTTTTTTTTAAAGATCTAATGGTGTAACAACTCAGTGTTGGAGTTTTTGTTTCAACGTGTTCCATTTCAATAGATATATGTTTCTAAAGTTCTTCAGTTTTTAAAAGACCGAATAATGTATTCAGCTTGAGTAAAAAAAAAAAAAATAGCGACCTATAAATCATTTTTAATTAACTTTGTCACTGATTGATGATGCGAGGCCAGAAACCAAGCTTGAAGTCAAGAACCAACGTGCGCTCGACTGTTTCGTGTACATGGAACACAAAAAATACTTGAGCTTTTGCTACTCTTTTTACTACTTAGTAAGAGTACAAACAAACATCAAAACTAACTGACAATTCATACTTTTCGACGGTTAATGACCGAGACTCCTCAAAAAACTCATTGCTGATATTGTGAGGTCGGAAAAAGCTTGTTTTTGAGAGGCAACCTGTTTGCTTGTTTTTGTTCAATTAATTTGACGGTTTTGATTACGAAATGTGAAAACGCATCCTTCTTATGAGTCAGCGAAATTGTGCTCAACGCTGAATGCATCAGTGCACTCAGCTAAGACGAAACTTTTCATCACGGAGTCAAACCACCAGGGTCAGGAAGGACAGGAAAGAAAAAAAATTTCTTCCATAGGTTTTATCGTCCAAATTAATCAATGAGATAACCTATCTAAAAGGAAAAAAAATCAGGAAAAATGTCATGTCGCATTTCGTCATGATACGCTTGTGTGACGCTACCCACTCTCACTGCATCACGTTCTGTCTATTTTAATTTGGGGGAGAAATAGTGAAATCATGAATAATTTTCCGCGGGGCACCCTTAAATTCGCTGTACGTGAATGAAATCCTACACTATGCAAACAGGTACCAAAAATGCGTTTGCAAGCATGCCCTGTGCTCGAGAGGACACTGAAATATCCACTGTTGCCACAAAGCCTTAATTGAAGACATGCGGGACTCACTTTCAAATCTCAGTTCTTTAGAAGAGTTTTTGCAATAATGAAAACTTGTATTAGACTTCTCATGGACCATAGCCTGTAAGTTACATTTAACAACTTCACTCTAAATCCACTAATGTTAAAATCCATGTTCTTCCAAATCATATAATCAATCGATTGCTACAATTTTAAACAAAACATAACCATCGCCGTAAGGACATCCTCCAGACACCGCCGTCCAGTTAGCATCAGGCGGGATAAAAGACCCGCCTCCTCCGGCATGAAGATCAAGGTTCTTACTCTTGCCATCGACTTGCACCCCACCACCAGAGTATCCACCCCCTCCTCCACAATTTCCCCCGCCACCGAATCCTCCTGTGCACTTGTTTATTATGCTGTATCCACCCCTTCCTCCTGTTTGAAAAGATTTGCCTCCATCTTTCTGGTCACATGGTTTGTTACAACTGGACGCCCTATAGCAGCGCCCATCCGTGAGAAGACCTCCACCACCTCCAACACCACCTAAGTCTGCATCATTCCCCGACATGCAGACCTTCCCTCCCTTTCCTTTTCCCCCAGGATTGACGCTACCACTCAACCCGGCCTGACCAGGATCACCATCTACCAAGTCAGCTGCGCCACCCCCGCCAGACACAGCCAATGGACTGCCATTGCCTGCCAAAACAACAAAAGTTCCTCCTCCGCCACCTCCACCCCGTTTGCCTCGCTGCCCTACTAAAATTGTCAGCTGTATTCCCTGTTGAAGATGGACCGTCCCATTTAGTTTTGCTCCTTTACCACCGATGGTATTAAATCCCTCGTGATTCCCACCTGTAGCTCCGCATAACTCGAGGTAATACGTGGCCGACAAAGGAATGTCCCATGATTGCAAACCGTCTTTCACTAAAATCCCCTCCAGTGATGTACCCTGGTACAGCGCGTTATTTACTGGCCCAGACTTACCCGTTGCACCCAGTGTAGTGAAATGATATTCGATATCTAACAACACAACAAGGAAAACCTTTGCTCAGATAGGAAACGAAAAGTTCTGTCTATACACTTTAGACGTGCAAAAAATGAAAACTTCATTCCACCTTTTACATGCATTAATTTATTTGACTATGAAATAAAAAAGCATTAAGCATATGGCGCATATCGGTACACGCACACCGTGAATACTCTGATAATATCAAATGAAATAAACTTTCATGTCGCGATACATTGGGCTTTATAATAATGTTACCTACCTATCTTCTTTTCGCACCTGTCCCCAAACCACGGAAGTTTGCATTTGCACCGACATTTTTGTTTGTCGTTGTTGTAATTGCAGAGGCCTCCATTGAGACAGACCATCTGGTCGCATTCGTCCTGAATCAATGGTAAAATCGTCGGAAAAATAAATGAAGGTAAACAAAGCTACTAGACTTCACATAGAGTCGCATCTGTAACAATGTACTAACTCGGAGCTTATATCTACTTACAATAGCTCAGTATTACATTTCAAAGCTCCTCAGAAATTTAGTAATGGTCATGATTGACATTTGGAAGCAAAAGGTTCTCGTTTTTTATAAGTGAGATATGGAAATAAACAAAATCAGAAAAATATTTCGAGAGGAATGAGATATGGAAATGGGGCACACAGGAAAAACAGTTTAAGAGACGAATATCATCTAAAAATTAATTAACCAACAGAAACTGAAATCTCAAGATATTACAGTAAACATGTAAAAGAAGAACTTTGTCACCCACCATAACGTTGATACTACTTTGAAACACTGGAGAGTAGGCAGAATATGTAAATCCTTCCGCGTACATCAATTCATCGCCGGAAATTAAGGAATCAACGTGGTCATTTAACTCACACAAGAGCTTATTCTCCGCTGAGGAAATTCCAAAGTTCGTGGACACGCATCTGGTCTCCATCAAGCACGAATGAGCGCAAGACAATGATGTAGAACCGTTTAGAGTCCTAATCTGGTGGCCATTAAGCCTGTGATCCAAAACTGTTTTAATAGCACCCTGCATGTAACGTTGTTCGAAGCTGCAAGAAATTCCAAAAATATGAAGTGCAGTAACAAGAACCCACAGAAAAACAGGTGAATTCATCTCGAAGACCACTCAATATCATATAACTAAGAGAAAACTCATTATAGTTAAGACTGATCGTTTCTCTTAAGGCACAAGGTGTTGTAATGGCCACTTGCGTAGATTGTCTATGAAATCAGTTGCTTTTTGAGCAAACACTGATAATTATGCTTTCCACTGACATTAAAACTTCTCTTCGATACAATAATGGAAGTGCCAGATACAGTAAACAATAAAAGGGATGCTTAAAAGCTGTGGTCGAACAAAACACATTAACGTTTGCTTTAAGTAACTGGTGACGTGTCATTAGGTCAGACTAAAATAACTGTTTCAAACTCTGGTCACCAACTCTGTATCCCGTCTGTTTTTACAATCGCCGATTTCAGTAGTAATAATGGTAATAATAACAATCATGATTAAAATAATAACTTATTATTATTATTGAGTAGTAATTTTAGCGTTTTTTTCTTAATTTTTCAATTTCCACTGTTAAATTAATACTCCTGTTAAAAAAAATTCCCTAATCTTTTAAATCCATTGTTTTACTTTTATCGCAATTTTTGGGAGTTAATTTATCAATTCAGAATAAAAGAATTACGATGATAGCTCAAAAAACTGGAAAATAAAAAATAAAGATACTAATAATAGTTACGACAATAATAATAAATAAGGATTATAATAATGCCGGAAAAACACTGCGCACCCAAAGATGTCATTAGAGATGCACCTTTTAGCAATGCACATGTCCAAAAGTCAATTTAAAAAGTAAGATCGTGTCAACATTTAAATTACAATTTAATAAAAAAATTGCACCATTTCAAGAAAACTTATTTAGTTTCATTTATATTTTAATAAATCAAAATCGTCTGCCGATTATCTGACAGTTGCCAAGGAGAAGTATCAACAAGATCAAAACGTTCCGATAGAACGTCGAAATTCTGTCTTCCATTTACCTTAAAGTATAATGATACATTGAAACAAAGTAAACATTATTAAGTTCAAGTCAAGGATAAAGTGTTTCACCGAGGAGAATTCAGCAGGATGTATGCAAGATCCCTGGGTTAAATTTGCAAAGCACTCTTCAATCATGTTCGTCAAAGCTATTATGGCCTTGGTATCATATTTCATTGTCTTCGGATATTTGCTTCACTTGCCACAATGTTCAGCCTGGAAAAGAGGACAGAACAATTTATCCTTTAATGGTGCTCTCTTCTGCCGTCAAAACTTTGCACTGAAAACGGACATTTTAAGAAAAGTGAAAACTTTCGGGGAGATTCAATGTGCGTTTGTTTGTTTGTCTGAAAACGACTGTGTCGCACAAACGTACTGCGACGATTCGCCAAGGAGAAAAAATCCCAAAGGAACATGCTATTTACATAAAAACGGCGTTAAGAACGAAGAGAACAGTGCCCGTCTCGTAAAAAGTAAGAGATGCACCTTTCAGCAATACATGGATTTAGACGTAAGTCAAAAAATATTTAGTTTTCTGTTGACGAAAATATAGATAAATTCTCTTCTAAATGTTTCATATCTTCTGGTAGCGATGAAGATGTACTAACAACCACATCAAATTAGGTATCTTTGATGAGAAACTTTACAATTCAAAGGATTTCACAATTTTTTTATTCAGGATCTTAGTATTAATTAAGTGTCTTAGAATTTACTTTTAGTCGGAAAAAAGCATTCTGAGCGCAGGGCTCAAATCAAAATATGTTTGCTAACTTAGAATTCATTGCATTTATTCAAAGTGATGAACTTTGTCTCCTCAATGTTCATTTTCATAACCGCAAAAAAACCGAAAGCAACTAAGTAAGGAAAACCTTCGCGTTTAATTGTGCCCTGCCATGCTTTAGTGAAATTTTATCGCAAGGAAAAATTATATAAAGGGAGGTAAATGACAGGCAAGGCAGTGTCTAGCAGTATTGATTTATGTACAAGATTACAATCGGATCTTAGACAAACATTGTGTTTTTAGCGCTTAAATTGCATGCAAATATTGGCTTTAATCATCATAGGTGCCTAACACATGTTTTCAACCGCAAAAAAAAAAAACAATCGTCAGCTTATCTGAGGCTATGAATGAAAACAAGTAAATGAATTGTTGCCATCGAGAGCGTAATTTATCTTACTTCTTCGAGTCGTATATAAGGCCTTGAACGAGCATTGATTGCATGAAGGATCGGATTCCAGGGAATGTGAAAAAAAAGAAAAGGGTAGATTCTCTGAGGCGGGGTGTTGTAGTTTGCAGTAAACACTTTGTTTCTACTAGTAGTTGTAACAAGACATCAAAGAAATCAGAAGGTTACAAAATTAAGATCAAATATTGCTACACAACGGAAATATAAACGGCCAAACATACAAACAAGGTTATGACGTGCATAAAAACACAGAGTAAAGTAGATTAGTCAGGCAAAGATCCATACTAAAAAAATATCGAGCGGGCTGTAAAACATACTAGACTGGCCCAATATGAAATAACTTTATGGGTTTACTGCTGATACTGCCTTTAATCAAAAGCAACTGTTCGAGATTAGGGTGTTATGAATCTTGCAGGAGGTCTCGTGCTCAAGAAAATGTCAAAATGGTATGAAGTGTCAGTACGACTATGATACCAGAAAATGCCAACGCAGATGTGAGCCGCCCTACACAGGAATTGATTGCAACCAGCTTCAAGGTAGAATCCTCAGCGCATTACATTAAGCATTTCAAGAGCTGCAACACTTTTTCTTAACGCAAAATTGTGTAAATCAAGAAACCAGTAGCTTCGAACAATACCAGGTTCACCTCATCCTCATCAAAAAGTAGTTGCAAGCTGTACCTATGGGATGAAAAATAATTTGATTTATGTCCTAATGGGATTTGCTTTGGGGAGGCAGCAGTTGTGGAGGCGCTCGCCCATCACAGCTGGGGTCTGGGTTCGATTCCCGAAGTTGTGGGTTGAGTGTGATGAGTGTTCTCATCCGCGCTCCACTTAGTTTATTCACAAAAACCAAAACTCAACATTTTAAAAAAAAATAAAGGGTCGCAGACGAAGAACCATTAGGCATCTCTATAATGATGCCCTTTATAACTAAAACTTTGTCTCTCCAATTCACTCGTCGTCCAAATGGGATCGAGATAAAGGGAATCCAATTTATTGTGCACTACAACAGGAAGTGAGATTTACTTTGGTTTTATTCCAGCCATATCCTTTCGTTTCACCACTCTTGGTGCACAAGGTAACTCTGGGCCAATATCGACTGCTGAATATGTGAACACGTCACTACAGGGAACGGTAACACTCGACAAAGGGGTCCAGATCTGGAGAGTGCCATTCACTGCTCTTTATAGGCTCAAAGTCGCTGGGGCTTCAGGAGGGAAGGCGTCATCCTCAGGGGGAAAGGGTGCAATCGTAGCAGGAGTGTTGCTGCTAACGAAGGGAACTGTGCTGCACCTTTTGATTGGTCAGAAAGGACTTCCAGGAAGTTCTGGTGCAGGAGGAGGTGGGGGAACTTTCGTAGTTTTTAACAAAAACACGCTTTTGGTAGCAGCAGGTGGCGGTGGCGGTGGAGGTGGTCATATTACCTCAGAAGACGGAGATGATGGTCAAGCGATCAAAGCTGGCAGCGTTTATGGTGGTGTAAATGGTTTGGGTGGATCAGTGTGCGCTAGAGAGGACAACAATGCAGGGGGAGGAGCTGGATTTAAGGAAAATGGCAAATGTAGTCGCAATGTGTCATGTTCCTTAACTCCTCATCCATGCAACGAGTCCGGGTTGGCCTATGTAAATGGTGGTCTGGGTGGCAATGGGAATGGTGTTGGAGGATTCGGCGGGGGTGGGGCGGCATACAAAGATTTTGGAGGAGGCGGAGGGGGTTATTCAGGAGGGGGAGTGCATGCCACGTCTTTGGGTTCACGGGCAGGAGGGGGTGGATCTTACTGGGCCGTAGGGCGGTTGAAGTCAAGCAATGACACCAACTCTGGCGACGGATACGTATTGATAGATTTCAATAACAGTTTAAGAAAAAAATGATTGATTCGTTGATCTCTCTTCTTTAAAGTCTTTGTATTCCAGTGCTATATGTTGCCAACGCGTTAGTGGAAATATTTGTGTCAGGGCGCTATTTCAGGATTGATAGATCTGAAAGAGAGCTCTACCAGCCGCACAGTGTATGGGCACGATGAATTTTATGGGGCAAGCAGTCGGTCCATCTACAACTTATGGCGCGAATCTCCAGTTCAGAAGACAGGTGGAACTTTAGGTGGTAATACCACAAAAACAAATGTTGCAGATCGATGCTCGCTGGCCAATTGCAAGATGGCGTTTATGCACTAATAACAGAGTTGAAAACTACGTTCTTCAAATCAAAAGGATATTTTATAATTTTTTTGTTTGTGCAGATGAGCAGAAGAGGGCATATTAACTGTAGCGAACCAAAAGGAAACTATGTGACCGATATAAATGAGCTCTGTTATCGCAGACCAAGTAGCTGGAGGGGGGGGGGGGGGGGGGGGCATACTCTCATACCTTTTATTGGTCTGCATAAGCTCAATAATAGAGTTGAATAAGAAGACAAGTTGCAAGGGAAAGTGAAGACCAGCCGACATTTTTGATGTAATGGATTTCTTATCACGCTCCTTGATGCGTTAAAACAATTAGTTGACTCAGTCTTATGTTGCACAATAAAATTACCCACTCCAAAATCGCTGGAAAAATGTAGCGCAAACACTCATCTTTATCACAAAAGCAACAGATCTTAGAGTAACTTTATTTTCTCTGCATGAACAAAAATGTAACGAACAAAAAACGTCAATTATATACGGAGAGAACCCAAAACTAAACAAATGGGATCTCAGAAGGAACAGATCTTGAAATAATTTCAATTTGTTTACATTTACAAGAAAAAACCTATCAAATCTGTCAATTCGATAAGGAGAAAACTCAACATATACGGAAAACTTCCGCCAAGATGTCTTGCATTTAGAATAAGTTTAATATATCACATAAACATAAATGTGCAACGAATAAAGTATTACTTAAAATGAAAAATTTACGCTTGAAGTATTGAATAAATATAGGAACACAGTTTAGATCGAGAAGATGGCTGAGAGAGCTGCGTTGATTCATGTGTTCACATCCACATGTGCTTTAGTTGTTCTAGGAGAATCGCTACAATCATTGCACTGGAAACGTCTGAGTGATAGCTCATACTTTGATGGAGCAGTTTTACTCCGGCGTGACTTTGCATTTAAAAGGGACATCTTAAGAACAGTGAAAACATCGGGGGAAGTTCACTGTGGCCTCGCCTGTTTGTCTGAAAGTGACTGCATCGCACAAACGTACTGCCGCGAGCCGTGGCAGAAACTCAAGGGAACATGCTATCTGCATCGAAGAGGAATCAAAGACGGGCTGGCTGAAGATGCCTTCGTGAAAAGCGATGGATGTACTTACCAACAATACATAGATTTTCACGTAAGTACATTTTGCATTATATTTGTAATAAAGTAATTTTTAGTATTCATTTAAAAAAAAAGGAAAAACAAAAAAAACAAGGAGCAAGTAATGCGGAATTATTTTCAATTTAAACTATTCATTTACCGTTTCCATTTGTCTCCAACAAATGACGAATTCTCAATGATTCTCTGGACATTGATTATTTACAGTGGAAATAATTAACAGTTTGGGCAAAACAAACACGCTGTAAGGATCAGTGAATCGGCCCATCGGAATAAACGTTCACCCGACCAAAAACCAAAGAGGATTTGATAATCAATTCAAGTCGAATTTTGAAAGCAATTCAAGGCCCAAATTTCAGAGTAAAGTACAAATGCAGTAAGAATTACTGAATTGGCTGGCGTATCGGATAAACGTCTATCTAACTAAAAACGGGGGAAGATGTGATAATCAAGTCGAATTTGAAGTCGTTAAAGAAGAATTTAAGGCATAACTTTTCCATTGCGGTATTTATTTTGTTTCTTAAATCATTAATTGTGGTCAAGAGACCGAACGATAAAAGAAATGAAATTTTTGATTTCCAAGGAAGCTCTCATCGTAAATATATTTCTGAAAACTGCCATAAAACTTAAAGAAAACAACTTGCTGAAAGAAGTACTGAAATACCAATTTTCTGAGCAATGACGAGAGAGGAGAAATAAAACAGCTCCGTTGATTAAATCACAGAGACTAATGAGAACACTTCCACGAGGTTGTGGACGGTGTTTAAAAAATAAAAACGATTTGTAACGTGTGTAACCTTTCCTGTCAGACGCCTTGCTCAAGCAAATGTCAAAATGGTCAGACATGTAGCTATGACCATGATAACAGACGATATGCTTGCCTCTGTGAGAAGCCATACACTGGAATGTACTGTGAAAAGTCTAAAGGTAACATTTTAACAACCTGGGATGAGATCAGTCTTGCAGAGTTGTCACAGGTCCACCTTCGTCTGCTCCATTTTCAGATTGGGTTTAAAGAAAGCTTCCTGAATATTTTTACTCTTTCAATTTAGTAACAAAGTGAGGTAAAGCGAATTATGTTCTTAAAGAGCAGCAACGTTTCTTTAATTCTCGCCCAATAAAAACTTCAGCCTCAAAGAACATTGTCATTCGACATAGCAAAGTGATTATTAGTTCCTACATTCCCTCACAAATGCTTTGTTTTCTTTCTGTAGCTGAAAAGAAATTTGTCAATTTTCATAAGCACGAGACCTTTCCCCTTGTTTTCTGCAAGATTTCAGTGATGGTGTACACAACACTGTATAGTAGAAAACTCGAAGGCTTTTATTTGGGAGTAGTGGTGGTAATAGCACTATTTAAGCTTGAGATGATAACGCTGTCACAGTTTTTTTTAAAAAAAATCCAATTTATTAAGTTATCTTTTAATATCGATTATTAATCCATTAATGCATTGTTCCTTTGACTTCCTTGTTGTTTCAGCAATGGCCTTTTATTTCACTTTCCTTGGTGCTCGAGGCAACACTGGGCCGATATCAACAGCTGGATACAAACGCACGCCTCTAGAAGGGACAGTAACACTCAACAAAGGAATACAGATCTGGACGGTTCCATTTACCGCGCGGTATAGTTTCACTGTGGCTGGGGCATCAGGAGGGATGGGATATCAACCAGGAGGGAATGGTGCAATTGTAAGTGGAATTGTGAGACTTTTCAAGGGTACTGTCCTGCACCTCTTAGTTGGTCAGAAAGGTCTCAAAGGATCTTCCGCTGCAGGAGGGGGTGGAGGTACATTTGTAGTTTTCAGTAATAATACCCTTTTTGCAGCAGCTGGCGGTGGGGGTGGTGGAGGGGGTCAGATAACATCAAAGGTTGGCGATGATGGCCGAAAAGGAACAAATGGAAGCGTTTACGGAGGAGTCAATGGCCTGGGTGGGAAAGTGTGTGCTGACGAGTTAAACTATGCAGGTGGAGGTGGTGGATTTAGAGGAGATGGGAAATGCGCCTTCAATATAACATGCGTTTCTCCTCGATCATGCAAGGAGGCTGGGTTCTCATATTTGAATGGTGGTGTGGGGGGCAAAGGAGATGGAAATGGGGGATTCGGTGGAGGTGGAGCGGCATATAACGCTTTTGGAGGAGGCGGAGGTGGGTATTCTGGAGGGGGAGTGTTTGCCACATCGTTTGGTTCACGGTCAGGAGGGGGTGGATCCTTTGGCAATGGTGCACCCCTGTCAAGTAGTGGAGTATCACATAGTAGCGGTGACGGATACGTGTTATTTAGATACCCCTAGTATCAAACCAACATATTCGGTCGATCTCCCTTGCTATAAAATGTTTTGCAATATTTCGATGACACTAACTCAATGACCAAGAATCACGATAGGCTATATTACCTTCTGAATCAGTCACATGATTAATAAACGTCAAGATAACCGGATAATGGCCAAGTTCATCTTTTGCATTTTAAAGAACCAAGAAGGGTGGAGGAGGATAGGGGGGCAATAGAATAGAAATTTATTCCTAAAAGAATAGAAATCTAAAAAGACGACGTTAGTTGCGAACCACTGAGGGTTTTCTGCGTAATGCCTTAACCACAGCTGCAGAGACCAGCAAATCACAACTGAATGGGAAGGATCATAATGTTTCACGAATCCAGTTAACATTATTGCCTTAAGAAGACTTGCGGTATACAGTCGAAACGTCGGAATCGCCTTGATGACCAACTGCATCCTTTTTTATGAAATCATGCATTCCTGCCGCTAACGTAACTGTCCAATTTGAACATATGCGTATGTGGTGTGAAGGAGAAGTACCTCTCATTTTTCATTAATAATCCCTTCGTTAATCGGTATTACATAAGATATCCCGAGTATTAGAGATTTTGTCATGGAATTTCCAATTTTATTTACAACGCTTATCCCAATTTTGAGCTATACAACGTTTGTTTCATATCGGTGCTTCTTACGCCCTATTCTAAACAACTGTGCTAACGTCACTCTTCCTCTCTGACGTTGATCTCCTCGGGCGGGTACTGTTCGCCCGAGTTCATTTAATACAAAAATGGTATCGCAGGTAACTCGTCACCCTTCATCAATAGATGAACACTGACTATTGGCTTGTCCATCATGCCACAAGGGTTCTACATTCACGCCATAAGAAAGATCGACTTTCGACTTGCTTTGCCACCATCAATGATTAAATTCACTCTTGTTTTCGATATCACACCAAACTTGTGTGCAAAAGGGAAATTGTTGCAAGTCACTAGAGAAGGTGCATGATCCCTTATATTTCTCAGGAAGGACCTGCACGATTGCCGAAGTACACATATCCACACGCAACCTGCACGCCAGGTTTGTAACTTGTTACAACCCTACCAGTAATTTATGATGGTTACAGTTCCTGGTGTGTCTGGAGAGGCAGTGACTAACTTGGTTTCATCAGCCCACATAAGGTGCAGCAATGTTGGGTTACGATGCAGCACGTTCAACAGCTTGCCCTCCTATAGGAAGGGAACAAAGAAAACGTTTGTCTCCCGTTTTATAAAAACTTAGAGAGGATATTTTTCCATTTGCTTATTTGAAAATAGAATCCAGTCAAGACTGTAAGAAAGTTACATTTACACAAAAAATCCTAAACGATTTAAGGCACGGCATTTTAAGTCCATACCAGTTCAAGGTTACGGAGATGTGCTGTACAAAAGCTTAAATGTAGTCTTTTGGCAAGGTAAGCCAACGCCAGTAGGGAATAGAATGCTGAGGATAGCGAAGACTAATAAGGAAAAAAAAATCTTGAAAAATAACAGGTTAAACGTTTCATGATACATACGCCAAAATTACGAAGTACTTCTTCAAACAGCATTACGGCATACCTTCATATCCCAAAGAGCGATGCGCTTCCGATCTCCACCAGAAATGAGCCGATTACCTGAGAGGCACAGGCACCTGACCACCCCGATATGCTCCTCCAGTGTGTGAAGCAGGATACCTGCCAAACATAGTGACTGTTAAATAACAATCTAGTTAGAGTGCATCAAGAAACAAGGTGTAACCACAAGAAATGAAAAAGTCACCTACCTTGATGACTCCATAATCGCACAGTACTGTCCGCCGAACCAGACGCAATTATGTCATCATTAAACTGTAAACAGTACTGGATAAAGTAGCCAAGAAAGTTTGAGAACGTGTTCAATTCGTGCACGTGAAATCAAAAGATGTGCTGGCTTTTTGGCCATTGGGGCGGCATGTTTGGTTTTTTCTAAATTTAAATTAATACACGAACAATCATGCCAAATACTTCCATATGAGGAATTGAACCTCAGTTCTTGCATTGCGCCCTCTGATGCTCGACTACTGAGCTACAGGGAGCTCTATGGTGATCTAGGGTTTTTACTAAGTTCATATGTGACGATCAGCAAAACGAAAACAGAGTGCTATTGAATAGATTAAGAAAGATGGTAATGTGTTCAGCATCAAACTTCGCGCACTAACTCCAACCAACACCTAAAAAAGGCGTTAAGGCGAATTTACCTCACTGAAGGATATCAGTTTTGCTTGATGGCCAAAATAACGTGCATAATTGTGTAAAACTTATGTCTCTTCGTATTTCATACAATGAGCAAACTATGGATTCATCGCTTACCACTTCCCCTGTATGCCCAACCAAAGTGAATGTATTATCTCCTGTCTGAGCATCCCAGATCTTTATCAAACCGTCACCTCCCCCGCTGATTATCTTCTTTTCGTTAAAGTCACAACAAAAAACAGCTGGCAATAGACGTTATAAAAACTAAATATCAGAAAATTATGTTCGATATGTTGCGCAACATTTTCAGTTTTTACAGAGTAACAACAAGAAAAAAAAATAGTCACGACTAAAAGGCAAAAATCTCCATTTTCTTCAATTGTTAAAATTGGAGTCCACCTGGGAGGATCATTTATTTGCTTGAACAAGTTCAGGTTCACATTAGCCCAGGCTGAACAAATACAGATAGCCTTTTTATCATTTACACTGCTAGTTACTACTTTGAGTCAAAATTGCGAACAGTTTTAGTGCAATCCCTCGGTGCTGGCTTATGAGAGCTATAAATCTTGCAATTGAAGTTACTTACCTTCCGTATGGCCTCTCAGTGTTAAGAGACAAGCGCCCGCTGTCATATTCCATAGCCTTATGGTTTCATCCCAAGATGTTGTGATCACGAGGTCGTCACGGGCAACCAACGCCTGACAAACAAAAGAAACGTTTTGATTGATTGGCAGCTGTTCCAGTCACTTGACATACATAGCAAAATAAAGACTAAGTTGAAAGAAGAGGGGACGCAGATGTCTGGCCCTAGTTGCACAAAGGGTGGATAAGGGTATCCACTGGATAAATCACTATCTGGTGGATAGCGCAGTACGTTTCGTTTACAGTTATCCGCTGGATAACGATTTATCAGTTGGATAGCTTTATCGACCCTTTGAACAACTGGGCCCTGGTGGTTAATTCACTGGTTTGCAGATCGGAAGAAGCGAGTTGGAAGTCTCGACTAATTGGTGTATTTCGTTCTCAGTGAAGCACTTTACTCTCACAATGCCTCGATCCAGCCGGCAGTAAGAATGGGTACCAGCAAACTTCAATGGACAATTGATGCAGGGGGTTTACATGCCAAGTAGCAGTAACAATACGGCATGTCGTTTTTAAGCCAAAGAAACTAAAATAGCCTTCATGAGACTTGACCGATGTTACTCGCAAGATATCAGTACAGCATCTTAAAACTATTTAAAATTACCTGAATTTCATCTGAATGGCCAGTCATAGTGTGAAGAAGAGCACCAGTATCTGAATTCCACACCCGCACAGTTCTGTGTAAAAACGGGAGATAACCACAACTAAATAGATATCTTGAAATCATAACAGAGTGTAGTCCCAAATTTTACCTACTTACAGCCCTTACTCACAGGTCAGCAGATGCACTAATGATTGTACTTCCAACAAATGATAAGTGTTCCACACCCCCTGTGTGTCCTTGAAATGACCTGCAGTACACAAATCGTACATTTTGTTAGTCTACGAGTACACGGAAACAATAGGTAACACTTTGAGCGTACGTCGCACGAAAGTCTGACTGACGGGAGTGTTCAGAGGCTTAAAAACCATAAATTTTCTAAACTTTGCAAATTCCTTTTCCTTTCGCTAACGCTTATTAAATTTAAACGACAAACATGCAGTATAACTCAATATTAAATCATATTCTGTGTCATCGTTCCTTTGAAGCTCACGCTCATCGCAGTTTATCTACGTTGTCGTTAATAGACGAAGAATATTTCTGTCGTTGTTACAGATGAAGACCGTTGAGCTGACCTATGAAGTAGAAAGGACGGTGCTTAAAATTGACGAGGAGAAATGTAAGCCACTGCCAAGAAATCCGTGAATCAACAATCCAGTGAAGTGAATAGGAATGGAACAGAAAAAGTTCATCAAATTGTGCGTTTATAAGAGCTTCACTTCGCAAAGAATGTGACAGGAAAAATAGAATCCACGATGGCTTTGAAAAAGGTTATTAACAGCATCTGTTGACGTACACATACCAATATTCGGCTAGATAACACCTTGGACTTGTAGGCGATGGAGATAAAATTGGCGTTTCGAAAGCGGACACTTTATGTGAAAATTTGAGACTTCGTACAAGGAAAGACTTCAAAATGAAGAAAGTACGCATATGACCTAGATGGAAACCTTAGCGTGGATATCTGAAGAGGAAGATAGAGGTTTACCACTCACATTAAAGAGAAAGAAAAAACATTACACAAATATAGTTACATGTACACCAGAAGGGAGCCGGAGATGGGACCAATACTGGAGAACATGGAGGAGAAAAACAAAGGCATAGAGGAATAGCTGAATGGAAGACTAAGAGGAAGTTGGGAAATGCAGCGCCAGGCTTACAGAGCGCGAAGAAGGTAAGTAGGTTTTTCCTTTTGGCGTAATATTCTGAACATCACAAGCAAATATATTAATTCGCAATCAAACCTGAGACATCGTCCAGATTTCAGGTCAAACAGTCTGATCACTCCATCTGCGCACCCAGTAGCGCACAACGAATCCTGGGTCGACAAATAGAAGTGTCATTTATTTCAAAGGGGCAAAACTTTGATATCAAACAACAGTTTCCGTCTACATGAATCATGGCCTTTCACTTCGACTCAACATGACATCTTATGCAACCTGTAAAACTGATATCTACAATTCAATAAACTTCCCATTTGACCACTTAATCTCAAGTTACGCATTTTCTTTGCTTTTTGGTCTGTTTTCAGTTGGTTTATTGACTTATACACATCTGCTAGAAAACTATGACGGTAATTGGCTTCCCAGCTGGTGAATAAAGGGGGTAAGTTTCTAAAGAAAATGTGGTGCTGCGTCGGTGGGCGAGAATAACAGTGTAATTTAGCATTACTAATCAACTGAGTTGAAAACGTAAATTGGTCACCGTAAAGAGTTTAAAGGCTGACGTGTCGAGTGTTAGCCCTTCGTCAGACCTGAGGAAGACAATCGCTCTGACGAAGGGCTAACGCTCGAAACGTCAGCCTTTAAACTCTTTACGGTGGCCAATTTACGTTTTCAACTCAGTTGATAACACTAAATTACCTTCCTAGCTAGTGGTCTTGCAGGTCGCACAAGTATATGGTAACCAACACAGCTTCCTCTTGGTCGATAATAGAGACTTTGATGTCTATCATTTCGTTGTTGATTTGTTATTTTCCTTGTTTCTTATGTATCACTTCAATTTCTTTCCTTCTTTTCTTTTATTTTGACTCACATCGACTCACCTTTAGTTTCACACATCTTACAGAGTCAGTATGCGGTGAGTCCAAAACAAGAATACACTTAGCAGTTTGGACATCCCAAACACGAGCTGTATTATCTGACGAGCCAGACACAATTGTGCTACCTGAAAATAAATGTCAGCAGTTGTAGAAACATAAATGGATGTAATTGATGCAAGCTCTATGTGGTATGCTATTTAGGACAAAAGTGAGAAAACTGTTTACATACACACTGAATATTTCTTTGAAAAGTTAGAGACAATGAATGGGATAGTCTCCAAAATGTACAATCACCGTATGATTAACCATTTACACACTGACATCAATATGCATATTCTCCATACTGTTTTCTATACATTTCCTCACGTGGTGACAAGGAGAATTTGTTTAACAATCAAAAGCTTCTTTAGTCAGTGATAAGTTCCTTTACTCTCCTGACCTTAATGTTTGATTCAGGGGTGTATGGTCAGGAGAAATTAGATGCCAGTTACTCTTAGGGTTAAAGGGTTAAAGAAATTTCTTAAAGCACTTGACTCACTATTGCACTTGGCATAATTAAAAATGTAATTTCATCATAAGTTAGCAAAGAAAAGAAAAACAGAGAAATCATAAGGACTTTTAAATCAATTAAATGGTTAAGAATATATGAAAGTCACATATTTGAACTGCGGATAAAGACGTGAAAGTGATCCTTGCAGTAATGTGCACTACTTAGGCAGTGCACTACTTGGGCTTGGGTACAAGGTACGGGGGAAAAGGTACCAAAAGTTTGCACCCAAGCCATGTGGCTTGCATGGAAGTATGAAAATAGTAAGAGTATTGCTATTCCATCTAGATGGAATGCTAGTCCCTTCAGATTTCCCTTCACCATTTTTTCTTCCTTGACAGTTCACTGACTCTGATTTGAACTCTTAACTGGAGAGGCACAGTGAAAGTAGCATATTAAAAATGCAATACATTGATTAAGCCTGGTCTACAACCCAGATCTCTTCACCCAAAGTCTGGTATCGTCAATGTTAGGCCTCCATATCTTCATGGAGAGGGTCCAAGGATGGTAGAATATTTAAGACATGGTGAAAAGCTGATGAATTTGCAGTTTCCCAAGGGTTGAGAGTTCATATAGAAACTGGGCTGGGTATGAGTAAGGATTTAATTTCAGAAAAATGCAATGACTGCAATTCTCTAGGCAGCCTCTAAGTTTTCCTTTCAATTCTATAACCACTTAAAATGATTTAAGACATTTACCATCACAAGCCATGCAGGTGATAGGATCCTTGTGTCCTCTTAAAAGTGGTGCAACAGAGTATCTGCCTTGTTCCCAGTTCTTATCAAGTGAGAGGGCTCGAATATAGATCTGCTTCCAACGGCAGGTGGCAGGCTTTAGTACAGTACATGTGTTATTTGTTAATGATGCATTTGACCCTTGAGAGGTTAACATATGACGCATTTGCAGAAGATCTTCTCCAAATCTGTCCCACCCCTTTTGAACACAGAAACGATACCTGAAAAACATTCATGTATATATATGAATGGCAGAGTCAGCCAGCCAAAGTGATGGTAAAAGAAATTGAAATCAAAATACAAGGTGTTAGGAGGGAATTACTGAAGAGCCTAATGTTCTCCATGCATCTTTAAAATTACAAAAGTGTCCCAGGGCTCATTTTTTCTCAAGAAAAATGAATTGGTTTGGCAGGAACAGCTTCTGACTAGTACATCTAAATTTTTACTTACACCAGCAGATAGTAACCAAAGAGCATTTTTAAACTTTCATTACCAATCATTGGCTACCTTAGGTGATTTCACACTTAAACTAATGCTACACTCTTCATGAACTTTAATTCCTCTAAACTCCCATGGATCTTGATTTCTCAGACCATGACAGTTGCTAAAATACTCTGATAATTTCACAAGATTTTAGGATACTTTGAGCTTAATTTGGCTGATGCTGATTTTCCCTCCCCATTTAAACCTTTCAAGTGTTCTGGATATTTTTCTGAACAGTGTAAACCCACTTCCTTCCCCAGAAGGCATGAAAGATTAAGAATCAATTGTTTTGCATAACCTCAATGAGACACAATTATTTGATAAGAAATTCTAGTCTGAACTTAAACCAAAAAATAAATGCACTTGCAGTAACAAAAAGATTAATTAAGGAATAAACAAAGGTGCATGTATTATGTTGATTGCATGTAAACATACCAAAATGCATTATGATTTGATCTTTCCCTCCACAGTCTGTTGCACTGTGCAACACAACTGAGTGATTTTACAGACAGATATGAGAATATTCTTTCTGCCAATTCTTTTGGTAGAGATGCCACAAAATCTACTGCTAGCAGTGGTTTTAACTCATTGTAAAGCAACCTCAGCTGAAGTGGCTAAAACACAAATAGCAAAAAAAAAAAAAAAAGAAAAGACTAATAAATAAATAAGAACAACAATTAATATTATCAGTAATCCCACTATTAAAGATGTCTTTCCTAAATTATCTCAACTGTGAAGACAGTACTTTGCGACTGGCTTTGAGTAAAATGCAGAAAGCCTTGGAAATTGTGTGGTACTTCTGCAATCAGCACACATTTGGTTTCTTGTGTTCTTACAGTTATCACTGCTCAGACACGTCCAACCTCACCAAATTTTGACTCTCATAATAACCTCTCCATATGCACCTTTCATGGATTTCATCACGAACTTCATAATGTGGTCGTAAGTGCAAAGATCTGGCATGAAATGCCGGTCAACTGCACTCGTCATGTACATGTAAGACTGTGTGACAATGCAGGTGGTCACTTGCAACCTAACTCCATTCATTTTCTATTCTTTCCAAATCTTAACAAAAGATTTCCTAAAAAAAGGCCAGTATTAATTAACAAAATCATTCCCTCCAAGAGGAGAAGTACTAGAGAATTTGAAGAAAGCCGGTGAGTGAAGAATTTAACTAACTACTATTAATATCAACAGGTTACATGTACATGTGTACCCAGCTGATAGTGGTTTCGAGGATCAGATGGAGTCCTCGATGATGAGGCGTTTCTTTGATGCTACATACATGTAGTTCAGTCGTTAGCAGCGGCGATCCCTCGAACAGTATCAGCTTCAGATAGTGATAAATCAACTGTATAAGGCAAGCTTTAGATCAGACATAAACAAACCTGACAGGCGAGAAGGATTTGTTGCAAGACTTCGTTTTGCTGATCACGATTAAAATCTTTAAATGTGTTCACAAACACTTTGGCTTTCTCTTCAAAACTCATTCTTCTGAGTAGAGAGGCATGGATGCGTTCTTCTCAAGTTGTTAGATTCACTTTTCGGAATCTTGATTTAAAGAACTCGAAATCTAAACAAAATCCCTTAAGGACCTCTAAGATGATCACCCTTCCCCGTCATTGAGCCTGCGATTATTATGAGTTTTAGTCACGCCTTTCTTGCACTGAGTCACGCCTTCAAGTCACGGGAAGTCACGCTTCATCGTAAAAGAGGCGCACGATATTTTCAACTTATGGTCAGCAGTTTCCGGTGTCAATTCAACATGGAGGGCATTCCTATGTGGTTGTTTGTAAACAACTTGAAACCTGCCTCAACTCGGTGGCTGAAAACGATCTAGAAGGCTCCTTTAATTCAATTTGACTGTTGAGAAGGATGATATTCCTCTTAAACTGTGTTTTTAGAACGGATCGCCCTACATTTCTTGACCTTGGCACACAGAAGGAGAATACAGAACATTCTGAATAGTTACCAAAACTTGTAAAATTATTTATGATTTCTTTGATATACCAAAGATTTTAAACAGCACGAATTCAGTGGTAGTTGAAGGCTCTTACTCGAGAAAAATCAGAGAATTACTGGTACGAGGTGTATCGTGATATTTGTGATGCAGAGGGGACAAACAGATAAAGATCGGCGTCGAAACGCCACACAAGAGTGTCAAGCTCTAAGGGATTTAGTGAACAAGTTGAAGATGGAACTTTTGCAAAGTCAAGTGGAAACTCAAAAAGTTAAAGATCAACTCCAGTGTATGATATATCTTGTTCGCCGGTAAGTACGATGACCCCGATTATAAAAATACTTCAATGATTGAACCAGTGATGCAAGTGCACAAAGATATGATTTTCTACACAATTGTAAAAGGTTTTTCTCTCAAAATGACCTGTTTGATTTTACGGTTTTGAAGTGTGAATAGTGATTTAATCAAAGGACGTTTTCTAGGGCTCGTTATTTTTAAAGACAAAAAACACCAAACTTTACTACTAAAATATGCTGTTTAAGAAGTTTTAAAATATGTGTTATTTGGTTCTTTAATCAATATAAGCTCTACAGCTTATCTTAAGATTTCAAACATTATATGCATAACTATCATTTCAGCCTGCGCTATCCCCTTTACCCTCCGATGACCACTTCTGCTTTGAAAACTCTTAACTAATTAAAAAATGCCCCTGTTAGACACCAGACTATCCAAAAACCTTTAACCCTTGGTTCTTCAAAACTAAGATTTAGGTAACCCATGACTCATAACCATGAAAAAATGCTTCTTAGTGCAATACTGACACAAATGGATAGCTTTGACCTTTCAACAGAGTAGGGAGAAATGTGTCTTACATTGTCAAACACGTACCTTTGCCTACCCACTTAAAGATATTTGTGAGTTTATGGCTTTCTAATGTTTCCGCAAGGCTAAGAAGTTATGGTGCACAAGGGCATAAGTTTTTCAGGGGTTCAAGTTGTTGGGACTGAATTTGGGGTGTGAGCTTTGTGGAGCACTGAGACTTTCAGGGTGGTGGAGGGGGCTTGAATTGTCAAGATACCCAGGCAGGGGTCTGTGCATGTGGTTCTAGTTTTGAGGGATTTTGCTCTCTTCACATCCACATGGTCTTCCACACTTATCATTTCATCCTTTTGAAGCTGCTAATCTATCGCTATTCTTTGTAGAGCTTGGCAGGGAGATGATGTAGCATCAATACATGTAGCCAATATTGTAGGTAAGTTGATGTTTTACATTTTCTTTCTTTTCTATCTTTTCTGTGTTGTTCTTGTCTTTTTTTGCGTGTGTTTGGTGGGGTTGGAGTTGGGTTCAATGCCCTGATATAAACATTTCATAATTATATTCTTGCTATATCATAATAAATAATTAACCCTAGCCACAAGGAGCTATTGAGAGAAATTAATTCAATCAGTGAATTTTCTTTATCTATCTTCTGGTAAAGTGTTGCAAATTAAATTTAGGCACACTTAGCCCTATTAGTTCAGGTACTTGATAGAGTCAAGTTCTACAGAGTATGCACGATGACAGACAGCTCATGATTTGGTCATTTTTTTTTTGTACTTTGAAACAATTTGATTTACATTTGATAGGTGTGGCCCCACCAAAGATGCAGAGGTCAGACCATGATGAAATTGTGGCCACACCCAAGGTTAGCTCAGATTATCTGGAGTCTCTATAATTAGCTTACTCAAGAAATATTAAAGTAAATGGTTTGAACCCAGGAGTATCAGTAGTTTGTATAGTGTGATCGTCCGGGTGAGTTACCAACAACAGTTCTTTTCAGAACTACACTCACCCGGACGATCACACTATACGAATCAAAATATTGTTTTTTTTCCTTGATGTGTATTAATGGAGTGACCTTCAATTATATTTGAAGGACTATTTAGGCTATAGACTATTTAGACTGAATCAACAATGTACTCTACACGCATTGTATCCCCTCTAATAACAGAACTTTTTATTGATAACAATGTTTTTTTTTTTTTTTGCTCAAAGTAAATTGAAAATCCAGTTACATCCTTATTTGATGAATTGATTACTCCAAAAATACCATAATTTGATCAAATTATTATTGCCCAATGTAGACCAACATTTTTTCATGCTGTAAATGTACATGTATAATATATATGTACAGGTGCACTCTATACTATTTTATATGAATGCAATTGCTTTTATTTACTGGTAAATTTTTTTTGTCTCACATTTTTTTTCCCGAAAATCTCACTGATCTTAGCATGTAGCATGAATACAGGGTCTATCATCAAATCCTGAGAAAAATGATTTTCTTTTCAGTCTAGAGCTCTGAATGGCTGGGCTCGACTTGTTATTGGTCTGTTAAATCGTATGTACCAAGAGGAAGAACTTGAACTACGCGCTAAACAACTTTTGTACATGCGTGACAGAGAAGAACTACTTGACGAGCAGCTAATGTCACACAAGGATATCACACGCTATCAAACGAATGTTTCCCTTTTGCAAACCAATACCTTACAGTTACTACAGGTATTTATATCAAGAACGTTTAAAATTGGTAAATTTGAGAAAATCTGGTCCGGAAAGCTTTTGTCTTTGATTGTTATACACACAACATTTTTTTTTCACTTGTAGATTCTCTCTGATCGAGTTTCCTCTTAGCTAATAGATATCTGTTTGTAGAATTTTCATGCAATTATGTGTTAAGGGAGTGTTTTTCAGCGCTTTGCCAACTAAATTCATTTATAATTTCCGTTCGGTTCATAAAAGCTTTTATATGATGAACTTCATTCTCTTTTTTCGACCCGAATTCAATGAGGGCGGGCAATTGAAATAGATCCCGAATTTTGTTTAAGCGCAACCATTCGTTAATGGAAATTGACTTGGGAAATGAATTAAGGATTGCGCATGCGTGAACGACGTAGTGATTGGCAAGTTGAACTCGAAATCGATAAGAACGCAATTGAATCCCCACTATGTCGTTTGTGTGGTGTTCTTGGGTATGTCAACAATCCCTCAAAGTGGTTCTCCACCAAAGAGTCCAACTGGATACAAACGACCCCTCCGGGAAAGGCGAAAAAATCTTGAGGGTAGCCTGCAATTTGATCTGTTAGTTTGCCATCTGAAGAGGTAAGAGGCTTACAGAATTTGGGATACTAGCCTTGTACGAGAAGTTATTTTTGTGTAGGTCAGTTTACGCTGGATTTTCGTTGCTTCTCGTGCACAAACTGACATGGCACATGATATGAATGCGTTTTTACAGGCCAAAGAAGAATGCAAAGCTCGAGAGAGAGCGGAGGAACGAGAGCAAATTGAACAGCAAAAACAAGAATTGAAAGCAAAGTTTAGAAAGAGGCCACCAAGGCTTCAAACCCACGGCGTGACCCGGAAGGACAGTGTGGAGAGAATTGTTGACTTAGATATGTCTGGTAACCTCTTGATCAGCCCGGTGAGGAGCAAGAAGATAGCAGCTAAGGAAAGTACTGTAAGTATTACATAGGAACAGAGGGAAGGGCCGCTTTTAGTGGAGGGCTAGAAAAATGCTTTCTTTGTTTTATATCGTTGTTAGGCTGCCTAAATAATGAGATCATGAGCACGATCTCTAAAGATCAAAATCAAAGACTACGAACAGTCCCTCTTTCTCAGCAAAGTCCCTCGCGCGGTTCAAAGATAAAAGACTGCGAAAAAAAATTGATGTCAGCGCGTCACGCGAAACTCTGGGAGTGAGACGCACGAAAAGTAGAGTTTCCAGAGCTCCTCTGACAGAGGGACCACTCGTAGTCTTGTAGGAGGTGTTTTTATTTGTCACCCTGCCGCGATATTCCGGTGTACAATAACAACATCAACAAATTTAATAATAACAGCAACATGAATAGCAGAAACAAACGCAGCCACAATTCCAATAAAATCAAACACAAGTCATAAAATGTTTCGCAGGAGCCGTGGCAAACTTTAAGCATCGTTTATATTAAAGGTAAACAAAAAAATTGGGGAAATTCTCAAGACGTAGCTAAACTGGGAAAGTGTTTATTTTCCTTTCTTGTTTCTATGTCTGGGAGTTAAGGTTTTGTCTTTTTTTCTGATTAATAGGAATTCGAAGATTTAAGACTCCAGTTTGCCACAACACTTCTTTGAGATTATACAGCAGTTTTGCTAAAGTAATTAAAATATCAGAGTTTGGTATATATATTGATTTTTCCGTTTTCTTTTTCAAGCAGGAGAGACATGTTAATAGTCCAGAAGATCTGGAAGATGAAGCTATAGTCGAAGGTTTGATGCAACTAATGCATGTATTTTGGTCTTGCGTTATGATGAAGACAGCAGTGACTAATATGTTGTATACTTTTGTGGTTAAATTTGGTCCTTGCACCAGGTTTTATTACCCTTCGTTTCGAACTCATCGTCATTCACTATTATGTCCAAAAATTCGGGATAAAAATATTCTTATCACAACATGTCTGTAAGATTAAAACTCGTACTTTTTGTTACTTTATGAAAAGTCCGTTCATAACAGTGTCTCTATCCCATTCACTATCCCTCAGGATCGTCCTCCTCATGCAGCAATATCAAGAAGGAAAGCGCTGTAAGGTTCAGTTTTACCATCTGTATTTTAAGTCGTTTATTAGGATGTCTACTTTTTTTGG